GTATATGCTTTTACGCTCTGGTATTAGGTATACTCCGTTGGTTGTTAATAAGTTAGAGGTGAGTCCGATAGATTTCGATCTTGATAATAGTCCTTTAGGCTAGCAAATAGTGCTTTTGAATTAGATTCCGATAGTAGCGACTTGATCCATCCTGTTGAAATGGCCAACCCAGAAAGGCCACTTCGTGATCTTTTTGTTCCCTTATCTACCGGACATCATAATTGCATCGTTCTGCTTGCGCTTGAAGATGGAGCTGATTTCAAACTTCACTATGGCATCATTAACATGTTGCCGAAGTTCTCTGGTCATGAGCGAGAAGACCCTTATACTCACTTACATCAATTCGTCCAAATATGCTCAACTCTTAATGAAACTAGACTTGGCGTTGATGTTATTCGTTTAAGGTTATTCCCGTTCTCTCTGAATGACAAAGCATCTCAATGGTTACACTCATTAGCCGAAAACTCTATCCGCACTTGGGATCAGTTGAACACAAAATTCCTTACTAAGTTCTATCCCATGTCACGGACAATAGAGTTAAGGAACATGATCCAAACTTTTAGACAGAAGTATACGGAGGAATTCTTCGATGCTTGGGAAAGATTTGGGGAGTTGTAGATACAATATCCACATCATCAAATCCCTATGGAGACATTAGTTCAGTGCTTTAACAATGGTCTAAACCCTACAACTCGTGATTTAGTAGAATCTATGAATGAAGGGCAATTCCTTAGTAAAACCGCAACACAAGCTAATGACTTCTTTATAAGACTTGCTGAAAATTCTAAACATTGGGGAAACTCACCTAACCTTTGAAGTTATACCTACGACTAAAATGGAACATGACGAAGAAGTAAAAACTTTAATTTAAAATCTAGCTAAGAAAGTTGAGGCTCTCTCCTTACAAAGTAACCAACCAAACACCGTCATGAACGTTAGTGAAATATGTCAAGTTTGTAATGGAAATGATCACAATGAAGAAGATTGGCCACACATTCTTTACGAACAAGTTAACGGTATTTGGGATAATAGAAACAATGCTCCACCTCAAGGTAACACATACAATCCAACATGGGCTAATCATCCGAACTTTCGATGGGGTAATCAAAACAATGCTAGACCGTTTAATCAAAACCCACAAAACTTTCAAGGAAATACAATGAATAGAAACCCTAATGGATATATGAGACAAAACAACAACTTTCAAGGTTTTAGAAATAACAATGAAGCTAATCAACCTCCGGTGCAAAATCTAGAAAAGGCCGAGCAACCAAAGACTAATTATGAAGCTCTTTTAATGAAGATACTTGAACAACAAACAAATCAAAATAAAATCATTGATAGACGTGAACATAAAGTTGCTAAAATAGATGCCGAACAAGAGAAAGAAAAATTTCTGGGACAACCTATTCAAAACCCAAAACCAATTCAAAAGGTCTTTGCAGTCTCGACAAGTAATCCTTCGGTTCAAAGAGAAGAAGCTAAGGCTATAACTACTTTATGCTCTGGAAAAGAATACAATAATAAAGTAGTCATGCCAACCGAAGATGACATGGTTAAACATTCTAACTCTAGTAATGTCACTTCTAGCTCACGTAACCCGATAGTTGACGTTGAAAATCCACCAAGTAACATTCAAGCGGATAATACTTTTCCAAAAGATAATTCTACTTCTAAAAACAATGAGAAAGATAAAGAAAAAGAAAAAGAAGTAAGAAGATACATACCTAAAGTCCTTTATCCACATAGACTTTTAGGTCCTGACAAAGAGGAACAATTCAATGAGTTAATGGAAATTTTAAAAAATCTACACATTAATATACCTTTTCTCACCACTCTTAGAAATATATCTCAACACGCTAAATACTTGAAAGAGTTATGCACCATTAAAAGGCGAACTAATATACCTAAGGAAGCGTTTTTCACTGAGCAATTGCCCTCTTTCGT